CCCGGCTGCCCGCCCTCACTAGCCGCCCACGCCCGGCTGCCCGCCCTCACTAGCCGCCCACGCCCGGCTGCCCGCCCTCACTAGCCGCCCACGTCTACAATCTTATCTATATAAACTTTACAACGGAGAATCTGGTAATTACATCCTATTTTGAATCTTTGTAAAAGGCAGATATAGGTCCGCCCAATTACAACGCCAATTACTTATTGCATTTTTAATGAAAGATAATTTAATTGATGAAACCCATATAGCTACTTCGATGACGCGTGACAACGTGGCAAAATCGGAAGAATGAAGAACCGGAGGTGGGGTTTCGCAGGCATTGTAAAGATTCTGACCACGACTCTCGTTGACACCCAGTTTGCGTGTGTGAGTTCGAGTGCTTGTGATTCGAACTTGCGAACGTCACACCAATAATTCATCCGCTCGTTATCTCTCTCGAGGTGGAAACTAGTTCTGCCGTCTAGCATAAGCACGCACTCTTCGTCCGCTGCTATAAACTAACCGTCACGTTCCGATAATTTAAGTCGGTGAAATTGCGCTCGTCGCGTACTCGCGCGCTTCTCACTCCGCCTGGGAGCTCGTAAACTTTCTAATAAAATGGACGTTTCGAAATGCTTGCGAGAGTCGGCGACGTGAATCACGGAATCCGAGTGAAACGCCATAATTACAGTAATTTCACCTTCAGGAGTAAAGACGTTAGCTTAGCACTAATCATTGCCCACGACGGCAATTCAAGCTCCCGCGGTCTTAGCAATTTGGCAGTACGCGAAATTCACCTGCACGCCGGATGGTTACATAATTCCACCGGCTCAAAGCCGCGTGTGCTGATGCTGTATCGTCCTCAAAGTGCCAGACGTAGCGAGCGCCGTACGTATGTAGCATAAGCCGTGCAATTCATCGATGTCGGGGCGTGTGTACGGCATGGTAACGTGATGCGAGCAAATGTTACTTACTCCTGAGTTGACATATAACAAAACAATTGTTGCCTAGTCGTTCAGGCAATATCCAGAGTTTTGTGGACCTCGAAATCCCAATGTTACCTTCGACCACAGTGACATAATGATTTTCTCAATCTACAAAACTCCATTTTTTCGCCTCGCGACCATGAAATAATTGTGCATACAGCACGCAATACACATGCGCGCGCACACACAAACACACACGCACGCGCACGACATAGGGCACTCAAAGAGAGTGCATACCTCCGCGAGCGTGTAACATGTATACATGTCTATAACAGCTGCCTCGCTGCTGGCTGCTGCTGACTGGACGCCCTAAGGTGAGCTGCTGCTGACTGGACGCCCTAAGGCGAGCTGCTGCTGACTGGACGCCCTAAGGCGAGCTGCTGCTGACTGGATGTCCTAAGGCGAGCTGCTGCTGACTGGACGCCCTAAGGCGAGCTGGTGCTGAATCGATCTGTGTAACATGTATACAGTGTATAACAGCTGGCTCGCTGCTGGCTACACACACACACGAACACACACACGAACACATCACACGAGAGCGATCACATTACCTCCCTGCGACTCCGTTGCGCGGAGGTAATAAGCAAACACACAGGCACACACACACTCGTGCGCGCGTGTGTGTGTGGGTGTGTGCGTGCGTGTGTGTGTGTGTGTGTGTGTGCGTGCGTGTGTGTGTGTATGTGTGCGTGTGTGTCCGTGGGTGCTTTCTCAACGAGCATATCACAATATCATTCGCACTATCATCAATAATATGCTGCAAAGAGGGTCTTATATGAAACCAATGAAGCAAACATACGTTGTCACACTCTTCATCTCGTGCTTTGTAGAAGCGATCATTGACCATCGGTGATCATTAGCTAAAACCCACGCGTTTTCCAGTTCTACTGCAATCGATCAGTTGCGATACTGTGTGCATAAAAATCCATATCGTGGGCAATCTTAGAAATATATCGCCAGGTAGCTCGAGACTTTCCACCCGTGCATTCAGTGCTAAGCCAGCTTCATGCGCCTAGCCGTTTCACACTTTCTCGACTCGCTTAACAGTGAAAAGAGATATTGTTATGTAGGCGCTAGCTTCGAATTCCTCGCACAGGCGACACGTTTTTCTGACAAGCGTTCGCACTTGACTGTATAGCAACTGCAGATTTCTTCATCCGAGCGGCAACATCCGGGGGCTGTTTCGAACATATTTATGCAACCGAAAGCTGATGGCGATTCGGTCATTCCAAATCTACCTAGCCGCCTAACTAATCTTAAACCGCATGTCAGACAGTGCGACCACTAATTGATCGTTAGCATGATTTTAACTTGGAGTATGCTAAGGATTGACATTTCCGGGCGCATCGATCAAAATATCTCATTCGTTCATCGATCAAAATATCTCATTCGTTCATCGATCAAAATATCTCATTCGTTCATCGATCAAAATATCTCATTCGTTCATCAATGGAGCTTTTTAGACGTTGTTTTCGAATTCCCATGTTTTACGCTTAACTACATTTCGCATTTTTGCGTTTACAGTGCGTTTTACTTGCCTTCATACTTTCACATTACTTGATATTCAAATCGATGCGCGTATAAGGACGTTGCGTGTTCTAGGCAATGATAGCCTAATATCAGTTTGATTAGCAGTAACAATATGGAAGCAAATAGATAGCAGCGATAAATAATTTCGTGATAGAGCAAACAGGCGGGCAAACATTCGCGGATAGATGCTTCGGTGTAGAGGGAATGCGTGAATTCTGTGTAGAGGGAATGCGTGAATTCTGTGTGGAGGGAATGCTTGAATTCTGTGTGGAGGGAATGCGTGAATTATGTGTAGAGGGAATGCGTGAATTCTGTGTGGAGGGAATGCGTGAATGCGTGAGAAGAATTACTAGTGTTGGAAGGAAATGCCCGGTGTATCGGTGGTGGGGGAGGTGTTCAGGGTGTGGAGGGTATGCATTGGAATTAACGACGGAAATCTAATAGTGAACGGCTAAGACCGGAGAGCTCCAATAAAAAAGCAAACCCCGCCCATGTACAGTCCCCGATTCTTTCTGGTAAAAATGGAGTTTGCTAGGCAAATCAGCTGCAAAAAGGAACGTCCAAATGAATAAAACCTCGACTCAGCACAAACACCATGGACTGCGACCACTACAGTCCTTCCCGGGTACGCTCCCTCCTTGCACATACCACCTCCCTCCCGACAAGCCCCCTCTCACACTACACACTCCCGGACCGCCCTCCCATACACTCACA